ATTTAATGTATTTTGGTCCATGCCCATTACGCTTCACATGCAAGTATAGATCACCCAAGATGCAAAAAAGTCCCATGCAAACTAGGGATGTTAAATATCAACTAACTGAATAATTAGTTAACCTTGAACTCTTATCCGTTCCTCAACTATTCTGTAGTCCCCAGGGGCAGGGCTGGCAGCCAGCATGCTCTGTCCTCACTCCCAAGGAGCCCCCTGCCACTCCAAACTACTGCCTCTGTATCAGAGGCAGCAGCTGGGCTGCCAGGCGGGAGCTGGTCCATGAGGGAAACTAGTTTAAAAACCAGGTCCCCTCACAGACTAGCTTCCTGTTACTCTGTGGTGTTGTGTCTGATACAGAGGCAGCAGCCCCTGTTCGGGGGCTGCCTGCCCGCCTCCTAATACATTTTAAATGCAGAGCTACTGAAGCAGCGGTAGGTCCTGGATTCGGTACAAGCCAAGACTGAGTTGAGCTGAGCTGCTGGCCAGCCTGCTAAAAAAATTTACTGGCAGGGGGGAAAGAAATGCTTGTAATTTATAGCATTAACTGATAATCTTTTGCATGTAGGTTAATCAACTGCACTATTACATGCCCGATGCAAACAGCACCAGAAACTTCCAAAAAAACCCAGTGAAACGTCATTTGAATAACCCACACATACTTACCCATCACACTTAAAAAAAAACACACACAAAAAGTGAAGTTGATTGAGTCACAAAAGTAACATTAACACTGCATTTAGAAATGCATATTTTGTCAAGTCACCACTAATTAAACTATGACCCAAACATGAATGCTATTCTTTCAAGTACATAGAGATAGGTTTACCATAGTATACTTCATTCTATATGCAAGAATTACTTTACCTAATTTTTTTCTTAAGTAACTGTATCCTTTAAATGGAAATATCAATGACCAAAGTCTATAAAAACTGTACACCTAAAAACTTATCAGAACACAATTCTGGCCCCTGAAGTATGGACTTCATTACACTTGATGGGGTATTGTTTACACTTGAGCAGTTAATTTCCTTGCTTTTGTTCCAAGTTTCTCATGATTAAAAAGTCACTTACCCAGAAGCCTAGTGCAATTTGTGAAACAACATTTTCCTTTTTTTATATTAAAAAAGCAATGCTATGGTCAAGTTTTATAACACACTTTTCAAATAGCAACACATTTAAATATATTTTTACCTCTAATGTTCTACAGAACAGAAAAAAGTGAGGCTTAGAGTAAGACTCCTACAGCATTAATCATTTTTAAACCACTGCTACAGTTTCAAATTCAAAATACAGTTTTATTGACTTACAAAAATGTTCAGGAGTCCATTATTAGTAAATAAACATAACTTGTACCCTGAGAAAAATAGTCATGTATAGGGTAGCTTTTATAATTCAGTGTTTTTGGGTACAGAGAAGTGAGATGATAAAAAGAACATAGCTATTCTGTTACTGGGATGAAATAAAGTTCAAGTTCTTTGCATTGCAGGAAACTGTAGAATACGTTCTGCTTCGCACAAAAAGTGGTTCATACATATGAAAGCATACTGCTCTTTCTGCGGTGTTAAAATATTGGCTATATCAAGTGAAAGTACTGCATCTTCTTTGCAGCAGAGTCCAAAATCCTTATGTAGGAAAAGTGTTTTCTAGTTCAACATCAGGAAGATTTCATTAGCTTTGACAGTTGTGTTGACTGAACTGTGACTTAAGTTTGAATTTAATCACTATTCTCATACATCTCATCCTTGTTAACTACACAGTCTCTGCAGCCAGAAGCTTTCCCCTTAAAATAGCTGCTCTTAAGCAAACTGGGAATGAGTCTCCTGTTTGGTTCCATTGTTTGGACTGAACGAGGAAAATCATCCCTCTACTTAAAAAAAAGCTGAAAGTCAGAACGTGACACACATATATGGCTGAATGCCACTCTTTGAAAAGAAGATTCCCCCTTCTCTATCTGGCTACATTTGTGAAACATTACAGTTTTACTTGGAAAGAATGTGGTCACTTCCCAATTGAACAGCAGCTAATCTAGCTAGATCACAAGTCTGTGTAAGTGTATACTGACCCTCTAACACCACGTTTCTCAAACTGTGGGTCCTGACCCCCCGGGGGGTTGCGAGCAACTTAGAGGGCTCACAGTATCACAGTTTGAGAACCCCTGCTCTAATACATTGCTGAAGCCCCAAAATATACACTGATTTTATCTAGTAAGTACACAAACATGGTCCAAACTCGTTAAAATTATTGGATACCTACACTAAAGTTGTAATAATCAGCATGTTTTTATTATTAATGTTAACAATGAAATTGCAATGAATTTTGAGACATGAATCAAGTATCTCCCTGTTAATTCCCCCACTCCACTCACTTATCTTCAAGCTTCTGGTAAAGACGCTAGATAGGACTCAGTTTAAATGCAAGTATAAATAGAAGAACTGAATCATTCACTCTAGATGTGTGCGTAGCCGATTCATGTGTAGCAACACTTATGGACCAAAAAGGAACAAAGAACCTACAAAATAGCTATTGTTTTAAGAAATGCTGTTTGCTAGGTGTTAAGTATTTTTGCTTTTCAATGACCTAGTACAAACAACAGTGTCTACCAATGGGATTAATCACAGTACTTTCTGCTAAGCAAACTGTTCATTTGTTTTAGAAGTGTGAGATAAATTGCACAACTAAGCACAAGTAAATGTATAGTTTGTCAGTAGTCAATTTAGAGAACAAGTTGCTGCAAAATTCAGATGCAGAATTAAATTAGATCATCACTAGTGTTTCAAATGTTCAGAGCAAGACCCTCTGATGGAAAAGTCTGTTGTCCAAAATAGTGTGCAGCAATCCATGAACACATCTGTTTAGAAACAATTTCTTGCCACACACAGATGATGTGAGTGATGAACTGCTGCCATTTCTGATTTTAGGATAGAGCAACTCCCCCTTTCCCCCAAGTCCCCACCTCCACCCCCACAAAAAAAACTGGTAAGAATTTGATTACACAGTTCTGAAACATGGGTCTTATGTTCTCAGCTGAAGTAATTCCTTTCCTCCTGCCAGTCACTGATTTGAAAGAGAGATTCAAGTGACCCTCCTGAAGTCCTAACGTTTCCCCAAAACCTGAGCACTATGCTGGTTTAATTTATAACAAATTCCTCATGTTTATGGTTTTGACATCAAAACTGAGTAAACAAACTGGATCTGCATTAACAGTCTTGGAATCCCAGGCCAGATATTGGTGACAATTGTGAAATTTCCTAGCACAAACCCAAATAGTTTAAAATGTCCATTGTTAAACCACCACAATGTTGTATTAGTGATCATGTGGATAGGAGTCATCCAGATGTGGTAGTGATGACAGTGGTACAGGATACAAAGAAAAAAACAGTCAGATAAAAAAGAAAAGGAGAAAAAACTAGACTTGAAGAAAGCTGCAAAGGAAGGAAAAAAGGGCTCAGCTACAGAAGATATGAACTGCAGAAAGGAAAAAAAGCTAAAGGAAAACAGTTGAGTCCTACAAAAATAATGTAAGTAAGACTTTCTGAAGGAGAGAGGTATCAGGGAAAAAGAAAAGATGGCAGAGTAAAGCACGTAAGAACCATCAAATATTTAAGCCAATGCCTTATTGTGGCAGGGGGGGAAGAAAGAGTGGAGGGAGAGAAGTTTACTCTAACAGATGAAATGGAATAGCAGTGTTTCTTACCTGTTAACAAAAGCTTTAAAAAAGTTAAGAAAACAAAATGATTTGTATTCTCTGTAGCTCCTTGTCCATTACAGGATATCCTGGCAACAGCAAAATCTTTCAATTTACAATATTAGCAGATTAGCAGGACTGAATTAAGTTAAGATGCAGCCAATTTCTTCCTATAAGAAAAAAACAAGATATTTATCATTTCATAATGTTAACAGTTTTCAATTAAACAGCTCAAATTGCAGCAACAACATGAAGATGCTGAGTTCCAAGCTACTGGGCACTGAAAATACGAAGGAAGAAATGAAGGTACAAGACTTGTTTGGAAGAAACTGTAATTGAACCTGTTTAAATAGATGATCTTTTGGATGATTCTAGAACAAAGCTGTTATGGCTGTCTGTAGTCGGTTCAATGCCCTTTTCTCTTTCATCACCTGTTCTGAATGAGGGTATTCATAGTGTTGTAGATATATGAAACTATCTTGAACACTTTTGATCCTCCTGAAGACTTTTTAGGATTCTGCTTTTTCTCTTCAAAAAGTAAAAATCTGATTGTGCTTGAGGATCTCATTTGACTAAATTTATACTCACCTGCCTGCATTCCCTCAGATTTAGGGAACAGAGCAACACTTTATCCTAGATTTGTAATGGTCTTGTAATCATCTTGCACGATTATGGCTGATTCAGAATGTATTATACCAAGTGTTGATCTATGCCAGAGGTTCTCAAACTTTTTGGGCTCCAGAGCCCTTTATATGCGTAAAAATTTATGTGGAGCCCCAGCGGTCTACTGGTTATAGGTGTTGTACCTATCAATGTTTCCAATTTGTCAACCTCGTGGAGCCCCTGGAGATGTCTTATGGAGCCCTGGGGCTCCGCGGAACACAGTTTGAGAAACACTGATCTATGCAAACTTTTATAAAAATAAAAGATGCATATTAAAAGATTTAGTTATTTTGGTAGAAGTTTGCATTGGCACTTCAAAATACATTAAAAGTGGATAGTTAATTCAGCTAAGGCCCGACAAATAAATTTTAGCCACTTTATGAAGTAACAGTGGCCACACAGATTTGCACTGAACAAAACACATGTTTTAAACAGAATTAGTTACATTGATGTAAACTAGTGAGAGTGATCAGTCCTTAGAAATGGAAGAGTTCTTAGTTTGCCACTCAAAGGAATACAGAGACAGAGGCACCCACAGTTAGTCTTAGAACAAGGGTCACCTGCTTATGCCTCAGTGACAAATGGAAAATGTCTTACCAATAATTTCCTTTGTTAAGCAACATCATCCATAATTCTTATCTGGGCTGTTTTCCCCCTCTCTGCAGCTCCTGTAGGAAGATCAGCATTTTTGGAGCCACATGGTCTGGCCATGTCCTCTCAGCTCCTGCTTGCTTTCAGGTGAGTTATTCTCAAGCTATAAACACTTGCTTCTCATTAATAAGTTGTCTAAAGATAAAGTATTGTACATTACATCAAGAAAGATGGTCTTATGGTAACAATTTCACTTAATACCTGAGCCTTTAGTCACGAGACCTACAGGGATGGGTAACATTGTGGGAGACTGCTAACAGAAAGGAAATCAGTAAGTAATGTTCCATTCTGTAGCCAGCATCTCCCAGAGTTCTTAACCTCTGAGAGTTAGTAAGGAGATGAAAAGATAATTGCAGGAAAAGACTGGAAAGGAAAGAAAACAAAAACAGCTTCCCTCCCCAAAGGTAAAATAAATTTCATTACACTACATGTACCTGCCTTCCAAAAAAATACCGCTGCAGAGCATAGAAAGCCCACCTTGTACTGCCTTAGAAAATAGCAGCATTTGGCCAGGTCAACATTTTCAGATTAGGTACTTAGCACTTCCTGCCCAGGAGGTCCCCAAGGAATCACACACTGTGCGCCCTGATTCACTCAGGAACCAGAAACTCCAAAGCCTGATTTTCTTTCATGCTATGTTCGGGGTAAATTTTCAGAGCCTTTTGACAACTTAGGTGTGCCACCTTTCCTCAGTGGACTGTTGTGGCTTTAGACAGAATTAAGGTAGATTGGAGGAAAGAAGTGTCCACCTTCTGGATAAAATTATTTTAAACTTTCCGATCATCACTTGGCCCTTATGAAACACATTAAAGATATCTGCATAGAGCATTGTTGCCAGCCCTGCCACTCACCTGGAGCACGTGATGGCCATTAAATAGCAAGTTTGGGTGGACAAAAACACAGGCATCTCATGCGCAATGGTGCTGGGTTGAACATTTTTGTTGAAGCCCTATCATAGAAAATCCAAGATGAAAAGAAGTCCTGGATTTCTAGGATTTGCTTTGTGTTCCTGTCCACAAATCTTGGACCAGATAAAGGAACATGCTTTCAAGGCAGATACCCTGAGAAGGAAGATGCGTTCTAATGACTGAAGAGCAGACCCAATAAACTGCACTTCCCTTTTGACAGCCAAGTTATTAGTTGCAGCCAATTCATGTACAGGTGAAACAGAAGACCTTATGAGATGCCATGAATATCTGATAGCTATAGTGGCAGTAACAACTTCAACTTTTAAGTCCAAAAACTAGGATCTCCTGAGGCAAAGTAGTGTTAAAGTCATCTCTAGTTTTATTTTCTGGACCACCTTCATAATAGGAAGAATGGGAAAAACCCCACACTTGTGCCCACCTGAGATAAGAAATCTGTTCACATGGATCTGGAGTCCACTTACTTTGTGCAGTACTTTGGTCTCTATGTAGTTCTATGGTTTGAAATAGGTCAGATGAGGATAAGCCAAACAATTGGGCAATTCACTTAAAGACTTCTTGAGTCTGGCACCTCTCGGTATTGTTCACCTTGTGCCTACTGAGCCCTTCCACCTGGTTCAAGTCTCCCTTTATGTGAAGGAGAACATCCACTGTATGATTTCCACTACTTCACTGTGTAGTGATGGGGTTCTTGTTCCCTCTTCGTTTTGTACATATGTGACCATGGTCATGTTATTTCACTGCATTAGGATATGGTTTTGCAGTGCCAGCCCGACTGACCTTGTTTCTAGGTTTCTGCTGTGGATCCTTTTCTCTAGGTTACAGAGATGACTTGAGCTGTGTGGGACCCAATGTGTGCTCTCCATAGCCCTACAGGAAGGTGTCCATTGTGAGGATCATAGGTTCTGGAATGTATATGAGCGTGCCCTTGAGGAAAACAGCCCTGGCTAACCATGATTTTAAGGCATTGATCACCCAGGCCAGAATCCTCACTTAGCTTTCACACATTCCAAAGAGTAGTCCCATACCTTTAGGATGAAGCCTCAAAAGTACTTGACATACAGTTACATCCGTGGAGCAATCTGTATGCATGAAACTAGGTGGTCTAGCAGTTCAAGGATCAGTGCAATAGTGAGGCTCCTGCAGATCCAAAATGACAAGAAGAGACCTTGAATCTTCAGTAACATCTCTAGAGATGGATTTAGCCAAACAACTGAGGGAGTCTATGTCCACTTCAAAGAATTATTTGGGTGGAATGAATCAAGGACATTTTTTGTTGATGTTGACAATAAACCAATGCACCTACAGAAAACTCAAGATTAGAGAGACAGCTCTATGCACCACTGCTGGGGATCCAGATGTCATCAGAAAGCAGTAACGGTGAAGCCCATGTGACTTGAGCCTTGGTATTATCATAAATAAATATCTTTGTAAAGACCAACAGATGTATTGGACCATAAGCTTTCATGGGCAAAGACCCACCTCGTCAGATGCATGCAGTGGAAATTTCCAGAGGCAGGTATAAATATGCAGGCAAGAATCAGGCTAGAGATAATCAGGGAGGATGAGGCCCACTTCTAGCAGCTGATCTGGAGGTGTGAACACCAAGAGAGAAGAAACTGCTTTTGAAATTGGCTAGCCATTCAGAGTCTTTGTTTAATCCTGAGCTGATGGTGTCAAATTTGCAGATGAACTGCAGCTCAGCAGTTTCTCTCTGAAGTCTGGTCCTGAATTTTTTTTTTTTTGGCCGCAGGATGGCTACCTTTAAATCTGCTATTGTGTGTCCAGGGAGACTGAAGTGTTCTCCTACAGGTTTTTGTATATTGCCATTCCTAATATCTGATGTGTGTCCATTTATTCTTTTGCATAGGGAGTGTTCAGTTTGGCCAATGTATATAGCAGAGGAGCACTGCTGGCACATGATGGCGTATATTACATTGGTAGATGTGCAGGTGAATAAGCCAGTGATGGTGTGGCTGATCTGGTTAAGTCCTGTGATGGTGTTGCTGGTGTAGATATGTGGGCAGCAGTGGCATCGAGGTTTGTTGCAGGGATTGTTTCCTAAGTTAGAATTACTGTGATGCGGTGTATAGTTGCTGGTGAGAATATGCTTCAGGTTGGCAGGTTGTCTGTGGGCGAGGACTGGCCTGCCTCCCAAGGCCTGTGAAAGTGAGGGATCGTTATCCAGGATGGGTTGTAGATCACCGATGATGCATTGGAGAGGTTTTAGCTGAGGACTGTAGGTAATGGCCAGTGGTGTTCTGTTGGTTTCTTTTTTGGGCTTGTCCCACAGCAGGAGGCTTCTAGGTACACAGCTGGCTCTGTTGATCTGTTTCTTTACTTCCTTGTGTGGATATTGTAGTTTCAAGAATGCTAGTTGAAGATTTGTAGGTGTTGGTCTCTGTCTGAGGGGTTGGAGCAAATGCAGTTGTACCTCAGTGCTTGGCTGTAGACAATGGATCGTGTGGTGTGTCCAGGATGGAAGCTGGAGGCATGAAGGTAGGCATAGCGGTTGGTAGGTTTTGGGTATAGGGTGGTGTTTATGTGACCGTCACTTATTTGTACGATGGTGTCCAAGAGGTGGACCTCCTGTGTAGATTGGTCCAGACTGAGGTTGATGGTGGGGTGGAAGCTGTTGAAATCGTGGTGGAATTCTCCCAAAGTTTCCCTCCCATGGGTCCAGATGAAGAAGTTCTGGACCAGTCTACACGTGAGGTCCACTTCCTGGACAGCACGGTACAAATAAGTGACAGTAACAAACACCATCCTGTACAAAAGCAGTTTCTCCTCTCTTGGTGTTCACAGCTCCACATCAGCTGCTAGAAGTGGGCCTCATCCTCTCTGATTGAATTTACCTTGTTATCTCTAGCCTGATTCTTGCCTGCATATTTATACCTGCCTCTGGAAATTTCCACTACATGCATCTGACGAGGTGGGTCTTTGCCCACGAAAGCTTATGCTCCAATACATCTGTAAGTCTATAAGGTGCTACAGGACTCCTTGTCTCTTTTGCAGATCCAGACTACCACGGCTACCCCCTCTGATATTTGTAAAGACCGTGAGGGCCAAGGACAAGCTAAATGGAATAATCTGATATTAATAACACTTCCTGCTGTAGACAAACCTTAGGAACCAGTGATGGCACAGTCTGATAAGGATGTGCAGATATACATCCACCTGAGCCAGCATTTTACATAATCCTGGGTCAGATATGAGACTACAGATGTTAAGTTTCTGTCCATAACGGTTTTCTTCATTTGAGTCTTTTGCAATCTCAAACAGCTCTAATTCCTCCTGTATGCTTCTGAATGATAAAGAAGACTGAGTAGAACCCTAAGGATCTCTCTTCAGAGAGAAGGCTATTATTCCCACTTTCACAGGCTTCTGATCCCACTGGTCCATAATCAAAGCCACCAATGGGAAATCCTTTTCCTAAGCTTTAACTTTAGGTGACTACCAACGTGGCCTTAGTCATAAAGAGGCTTGGGAGCAGCATAGTCCCCTTGGGGATTTCCTCCCAAGCTACATTTCCTTTATTCTCTGGCGAACATGCCGTACCTTCACCTATATTTATGCAAGAATAAAGGCTGAAAGGAACACTTATCTAAAGGCTGCTTGGTATGGAAGGAATTGTCTTGACCAATGTTTCCCAACTGCCACTGCACAGACTGTTGACAGGCTGCAAATTCCTGGCTGCTAGGCCACAGCACACTGTCAGGTAATGCCCATGCCATGTACATACACAATGTGTCTGCTCCTGGGCCACACCGTGAGCTGTCTGGTCCCAAGCAGCACTGGCTCCTCTGGGCTGCAGACAGCACTGTGGCTAGAGCAGAGTCCCACTGGCATCAGCTCCTCCTCCCCTCCACCAGTGCACATGGCAGGAAGCAGTGTGCATGAGGTCTGGATCCTGATGGCGCAGAAGGAAGGCGCCGCTGCCAAAGAGCAGCTGTACATGGGGAGTGGAGGAGGTGACCCCCTTGAGCTGCCCCAGGCCGGCGTGGGGGGGGGAGGCTGGGCACTTGCTGGGGGAGATGGGGACAGCACGGCAGTCAGGAGACGCTTTGCTTGCGTACGTGTTTATCACACCACTCCCCCCACCCAGCTTTGGGGCGCTGAAGGCAACAAGCGTTCCGGGAATGCAGCCTGAGCAGCGTGCACTGCCTGAACCACCCAGATAGTCAGTGTGTCTAACAGGCAGCTGGGGGAAAGGGAAGCAACCTGCTGAAGCTTAGCTTGTTTGGGGCCAGCAAGGAGGTAGAAGTCCTGGCTTTGGGCTTCATTGAGAATCTCATTACATCCACTGAGGCATCACAACAAATGCTGTTGGCAGGGAAACTTTCTTTAAAACAGAACCACAGTCAGGGCGATCCCTGAGGACTCAGATTTCCAGCCAGAAGATGTCCTTCCAAAACAAGTAGCTGTGATGGATGACCTGTGGGAGGTAAGTCTGTTTTGGAAATGGCCTCTTTTCCTATCCATTGGGTTCTTAGGACAGAACTCACGTTTAGAAGGGATGATCATACCATTAGCCAGGATACCAATGGCACGGCTGGTCCTAAACAATTGGCAGCCCCAGGCAACAACCTGGCTCGCCCAGAGTTGCCAGATTTTTTTTTTTTTTTTTAAACGAAGACAAAAATTTGTCAAGCAAAAAAAAGGGTCAGGGAATAACAAGGAAACCTGAGGGAAGGATTTGGGAGGTCAGGCCAAAATGCGGGGCCTGTCCCTAAGGCCGGCTCTGTCGGCAGCCCCTTGAAAATGGTGGCCCTGGGCGACCGCCCAGCTCGCCTGCCCCTAAAACCAGCTCTGCAAAGGCCTCATTCAATCAACCCTGCATCTATTTCCACACTCCAATCCCCTTGACCCCACTGCCACCACAGATCCAAGGGCATAAAGGAACTTCTACATCAGCTGACTGGAGTCTTCCTCATCCTTTGAGTATCTCCCTGCTCTGTCCACCGACTCCTGGTCCATTTTTTTCCACACACAGGAGCTGTAGCTGAGAGTTCGGGGGTGTCAACACCCAGCTAAAAATCTGGTCCAATGGGAAGAAGGGCTAGAAAAATCAGTGCTCAGCACTGCCAAATTTGACAAAAAAAAAGTTGAGGCAGAGGGTCAAGGCGAGATCCATAGAAACTGCTGTCAACATGGTGCCACAGAGGCAGAGAAACTGGAAGCAAGAAGATGATTCAGGGTGCATGGCCAGACCACAAAGCTCCAAATCTTCAATCTGTCTCCATGAGCTGTAGGGAACGGAGAGCAAACCAGACATCAAGGTATGTGGGAAGTCCTGCATTGCTAGAGAGAGTCTAGGGAAACCAATTCATCCAGTCAACTTATTTTCAGAGAAGCAAATCTGAGGATGACGTATGCCTTTCAAATGGTTCTGATGCATCATATACTTTGCTAAAAACAAAAAGGATGGCTATCTTGACAAGATGTGAAGAAATGTCAAAATTGACCAACAGGGGAAAGTATTACCTTGTCTACTTTTGTTTGACATATAATAAAAAGTCTCAAAGAGGTTTTCACTGTTTTGGTTTTGTTAATTAAGACTACCAGGTCAGACAAGACAGGATTTCTATAGAAAATAGGGAAGTAGTGCAATTATAACCAACATTTAAAAAAAAGAAAAGAAAAATAGCTGAACACTCACCAAGTAGAAGAGAAAGGAATGTATTAAAACAGCAGCATATTGGTGTTCTTGAAAAATGATGTCCACGCCTAACACTTCATTAAAGAAGGTATTTTTGAAGTTAACACCTTCTTTCTTTTTCATTAAAGAGATAATTCACACAAGACCCCCTCAGTAGACTTCCTGCAAAGACACAGATGTTCAGACCTTAAAATCTTGATAATTTATGGTCAAGTATGAGGATGACTTTTTGGAATGTTAATTACAAACTTTCAAATAAAGCAAGTAACAGGCATGTCAGTCTAAAGCACTGGCTCTCAAATTTTAGCCTATAGCCTACCCCACTCAATGAAGACCACCAGCCAATCACCCATGAAAACAAAATGGTTGCAGAAGGGGGAGAGGGTGCAGGGTCCAGCCAGGAGGTAGGGCGCAAGAGCAGGCTGACGGTGGAGGGGGTCTAGCTGAAGGGAAAGTGGGGTGTGTGCGCGCAAAGTATTGGTACAAGAGGGATGGTAGGATGTCTTCTGAACTTGCTGACCAAACAGGAGCTTTTAAATAAATTTAAATGTTAAAGTATATAAAAGTTTACATAAAAAAATAGCAGAAAAGATAGCTAGTTTCAAGTACCGAGGTATTTTGTAACGTATGTAGCAGGTTCTAGAACTAAAACCCACTATTTCCTTTTTGTTTACACTAAGAAACGGAGCATAAAGACCCAAGGCTTCATAATATGCAAACTCATCAGTACCTTCTATTGTAGTAACTAACAGGCAATCAGTACAATGTTTTGACTAATTTTTTCAAGGCCAAGTATCTATTCTTTCCTCTTTATACCTTCATTTGTGATTGTCATAGGCATTTTCCAATCACTTAGTTAAATATTGACCAAGAGAAGGGAAAGAAACTATGCGGTAACAGCATCTGAATTCAGTAGTTTCTCCTACAGTCAAAGACCTTGGATACAATTGGTTTTTACCTATCAAAATACCTATACTGATGCAAATACCTAGTATAGATAGAATGCAAACAATTACTTGCCCCAGAGCAGATTATACACAGGTAAAAGACACAATGTCTACAAATCTTAAATTCAGATCTTGTTTAAGCCAAGTTCAAAGGTGAAGGTAGCCTTAGTTAATAATGAACAGTGCAGTTTCCACAGTGATGGGCACAGCTTTAGTGCAGAATAAGAGTGCATAGGAAGCTAGCACAGAATAGCTCTCCCCTCCCCCTCCCCGCCAACCCCATGCAGACAAGTTTAGTCCTGTTTTAACTAATAGGCAAAACAATGTTGTGAAACTCGTAAGGCAGAAACATATATACAACACAACAAAAAAGGAGGCAATTAATAGAACATTATACTACGCCACCCACTGTTACTATACACTACAACCCTTCTTGACCCTCTCAACCCACCTTGCATACACCTTTACCAAACTACCCCTTCCCAACACTATGAGGCATTCTTGTTTTGTGTATTAATCCACTGCAAAGGGAATGGTTAGCTTAATAAGAGATGGAAAACTGATATCCCTTTGGTGAATTAGCATACAGGGTGCCCTGGTATACACCAATTCCACACTAAGGCATTGATGCTTGTAGGAACCGATGCGTTATACGTCCTCCCATTCCCCGCTCTTAAGTCACGCAAAAAAAATTGTGCAAATGGAAGTCAGTTGCAGGAAAAGAAGTGTCCCGCTTTAAGTTGTTTTGCTATAAGTCCAAGTTTTTTGGAGAGTATCTTGGCCTTATAGTGAGGACAGCCTGTAATGACTGCATTTATAGTATGGGTGCACACCTGCGGAAGAGGTGGAGGGTATATAACCATTAAGTGGCTTAAGTTTTCATTTCCTAGATTTTATGATCGTATGTCAGCCACACTGTGTGAAGCAATCTTACCTGTTTCCACAGACTTGTGGAAAGTTTCTGGCTCCATGTTAATTCTTAATATAAGAATGGGAAGGATTTACTTTCTAAGAAATATTGCAAATATTACAAGCCCCCATTAGCAATGTGGTTGCATTAATGGCAGACTGCATCCCAGCACTGTGCGCATCTCTGCCACTGTTCCCTTCCTTCCCATGGAATTTAAAATGGCAACTGAGAAATGCAAACATTAAAAAAAACCTCCTTTCATGGGAGAGGCACATTTTAGCTCTGATATTATTTTAACAAACAGCAGACTTACATTGCAGTCCATGCAAGTATGCCAGTTTGTAATCCTTCAACTGTGCAACAAGTTACCTGAAAACAGTGAAGGGGGAGAGGATGGGGAAATGGATTCCATTCACAAATCTAGTCCATTGGGAGAAATTATTTAATAACCTAACAACTAGAGGTTGAATTCTGTCCAGAAACATGCTGGAGCAGGGAGGTAAACAGGATGATAGCCAAGCTGTTATTTTGCATGCAGTACTAACAGGACAAGCCACATGAAATCTATTGCAATATCCAGCTGACTGTCCCAAAGTCTGACCAAATCCTGTAGTAAGCTAAAAGAAAAAACTTGATGCAACAAGAACTTCAGAGAAGTAGCCACATTTCTGTGGAAGTGCACCACAAGAACTTATGATCTCCAAAACGTGAAATACCTGAAACTGAGAAGCCTGTTGTAGCATGCTACTGACCACTTCCATACATCCAACCTGTTGTGCAATTTTTAGGAAAAAGTAGCCGTACTTTGTAACTCACCATTGTTTCTGCACTTTTTGCTGTGATTAACCAGACAGTCTGGAGAGCTTCTGTGGTATCAAACAGCCTTATCACAATATCCTGAAGTTTAGTTTAAAAAGTAACATGTAATGCCCTTATAATGCCACAAGTATTTTCTTCTATGCTCCTACACCAAACTATTTGAGACAATGATCCTCAGTATCTGGTCTTATTGCAGCCCCTTGACCTCCAGAAGTTGCAATAATTCCACAGCACGTCCACATTGCAGAAGTCCGGGTCAACATCCCTTTGCAGACTATTCCTAAAGGAGTACCGGAAAGGGTAGGTATAGAGTTCCAACACCAAAGAGAGAAGGACTTTTGGCTAAGGACAGGCTGAGGATAGGACTGCAACATGGAAGCAGACATTTGCTTCACAGTTCCCGGAACAAAAGCTACAAAAGGATGACAAGTCAGCAGCAAGCTATCCCATGGCCTAAATTCCCAATGTAGTACCCTCTGTTGCAACCCAGGAACAGGTTGGACAACTCTTGTGGATGAATGACCCATGCAATCTGGCTCTACCAACTGTGGAGCAGGGCAACTGTGCCCTGGGAAGTCCTTCGCATTAATCTCTTCTCCTATAGGCACCTCCACACCCACCCTTGATGCCAAGTGCATAGCAAAGGAAAATAAGAATGGCCAGGAACACACAACTGTAGGTGGTTTCTTTGTTGTTCATACAGGAAAGTAAAATCCCATTTAATCAAGTAAAGGGGAAGCAGCCTCCTGACCACAGCAGGCCTCACAGGGCTGGAGCAGCTCCCCACTGGTTAACCTTTAACATCCCTACAGTGATGCCATGCACCTTTTTTTTTTTGGAGAAAGGCTGTTTGTTACTGGTGTTTTGATGCGATAATGGTGGCTGGCCTGCTTGGCAACAGGTTAGTGTGCTTGTCTAATAAGCAGGGCTCGACAATTAGTGTAATCTACTTGCCCGAGGTGAGTAGATTACAAGATGGCACAACCGCGCAGCCCGGTCTGCACATGTGCAGCGTGCTGAACTGCACGGCTGGTGAGCAGGGCTCGCCGCCACTTGGTGAGCCCTGCTAATAAGTATTTGTTGGTTATAAACTTTAAAATAAAAAAGGAGTTACCATCACATCATACAAAATGCATTACAAATAAAGGTAAACGTGTGATCATGGACAAGTAGAAATATGTATGCAAACACTCTCCCTATACAGTTATATTCATCAATCTATTTAAAACAACATCACTTCCTTACAGCAATCTTTACCTTGATCCAACTGCCTACATTAGATAAGCCATTTCACATAAATACACTGGCAATCAACCCCTTCTCACCCACAGGCATGTTCATAAAAGTACTATTCTTCTTCCACTGATCCATGCAAGTCCATCATGTGAGAGGATAAAGCATCCCTGACTTCTACTCCCCAAGTGCATCCAGTTCCAGCTGTGATAGGTGTGTCTCCCAGTTAAGTATACTAGTCTATCTCTGTCATAGATCCATTCAGGGACAAAATGTCTGGTCTTTGGCTTCACAAAGATTGTGAAGAACACAGCAAGTCACAGAAATGCACATTGGATTCCAGTGTTGTCAATGCTATCAAGCTTATAGACCAGTGTTCCCTGTAAGCTGAACCACTCAGAAGAAATTCAAATACTACCCAGCTGATGAGCAAAGTGCCCATAGCGCCCATCACTGGCACCATGTGTTTCTACTGGGGAAGTGCATGCCTTGGTGCACATAAAATTTATTCTGTACATGGTTGGAAAAATTAGAGGGAACATTCCTGTAGACATATCCAGCAGGATTTCTACCTGACAAATGAACATTCAACCACCATACTATACCTGCTAAAAGGGTAATTAAACCTTTTACCAAGTTCTGACATTTGAGATAGTTTCACAATCCCATACATGGAGTCCCCAGAATAATGGTGGGGGACAGTACTGTTAGGTTAAGGAAATGAAAGAAATGATTTCTGATCACATTTCTGAGGTCAAGCACAAACCCCTTTTTGGAATATCAATTAATTTCCTATTTAGATTTGTATTTAAGAGAGCACAGCATCCCCCCGTAGATCTGTCTGATAACCTACTGACTGCCTGACAGACATAAGAGCTTCTTACAGCAGTCAATCAACATGAACATTATAACCAGTAAGGGTGATGGTTACCGGTTAACCCGTTAACCACTGACATCCTTAAGTCCTAGTGACCTATTTTTTCCTCACAGGCCTCATTAACACAGGGATAGAAAACCCTATCTTAGACCCTTCCCCACTAAGTTTTCCTTTCTACAGTCTTTCCTCTTTATAATTTTTAAATAGGGATGTAAGTGACTAGTCGAGCAACTACTCAACTAGTCACTCGCCCTTCTCCCTCCCCCCGCTTCTATCAGAGTGGCTCTTACTACGTTTAAAAAGCAAAGGCCCACAGGGGACTGGGCATGAGCCAGAAATCAGCTGTCCCAGGTCACACCTGGTCCTAGATGCTGTG